ACTAGGAATCCTCTGTCTGCTGTTTGGGCTTCATGCCATTTGGACCTTGTAAAGGTTGTTTCTGGTACTGGCTGGGGTGAGAGTATGTCTCTGCCTCAACCAAGACATGAGAGTATGTTTTGTTTACACCGGGAATACTCTGCCTCTGCCATCTGAACCTAGGAGAGGTTGTCTGCGTAACAGGTTAGTGTGACTGATATGTGTGAGACAAGGTGCTAAGGCTAGTTCCAGTCCTCTCCCTTCTTTTTTTCTGAAACTGTCTCTGCTTTGCCTTTTTGAAAAGAAACTGAGGTTTCTAAAGATTAAAGCTTCACATTAAGTTGGAAAGTAAAGTAACAAAAAATATAAGGCATAGAGATAATTGTATTAGTTTAGTGCAGCTAACTGCCCTCAAGGTTTGTTTTCACTTCAAGTTGACATAGAGGACCTGTCAAAATGTCACTGCTTGCAAATCGAAGGCCTTGCAGTTGAACATCTTCTCTAAAGACAGTCTTGCAGACTCGGAGACAGTGTAGTTCCCACTTGAGAAGCCCACCTGCATCACTGCCTCCTAAGATTCAATAGTTTGGCTGGACTAGACAGTTGAGTTGGTGAAGTATGAGGTGGCATATCAGATTCATTTTTGAAACTGGTTTCCTTTTCTGCCTTAATGGTTTGGACAGAAAAGGTCCAGAAGTGTTAAAAGTGAGGAATTATAACAGTCCCTACTTTGGTTATTTAGTTATTGCAGTTCTAACTGCCTTCTAATCCTCTTGCCAAATTTGTCACCTCCAGAATACGACAAGGATATCAACTTTTCTAGCAGTGCCACCATTTGGACATTGTGCATGCTGCTTTCCAGGGACAACCAACTTACCTGGACCTTGCAAGATCCTTCTGCCTCGCAGGAAGGATCCTCTACTTCAGACCCCCTATGTTAGGGACCTCTGCACTGGGGGATAGGTAGGACTATGGCTTTGGCCAGCAGGAAGTAGCTACAGAAGAATGAGACCTTCGTCCATCTGTCCTTGTAAGATTTCAAGTGTCCAGAGTGTTAAAAGTGGTGAGTTATAATGGGGAACACACCCCACCCCTGGCAATAGGGGAGGGGCTTGAGCCTCGCATGCATCCCCCCAACAACCAGGACTACATACAGGAGTTGTGTTGCACATGATTCCAGGAAGAAATAAAAGAGAAAAAAAAAGAGGCACACTAGAGCTAGGGAGGTGATTGGATCAAAGGCCACTTCCTCCTGTCCACTTCCACTGCACAGGGGATTATGGGGGGCGGTCTTTAAATAGTGGAGCTTGCAGTTAATGCTGTACCCTTTGCAGCCCCTGCCCCTTGGTGGTGGAACATGGGAGGCTCAGGCTCCCAGGCCAGCAGACCTCGTGGTCAGGGGAGGTTCCCAGCACCGCCCCCTAGTACTCCAGGGCCTGCCTGGAATGCAGCAAGTGCAAGAGAGAGAAGGGGAGGAGGCCCGGGCTGACGGACCCTGGCTGCCTCACGGCCAGGCAGCAAACCCCATGCCCCTCCCTTACATGAGAAGCTGGACCAGCAGCTGCTAGCCCACGACCCACAAGCGCTACAGTGTGGACTCCAACAACAGATCTGCTGTAGCAGGTACTGTGGTTCCTATTTCCAACCTGGACTCTGTGGTCCTGGGAAATAGAGGAGAGGCCTTGAACTCAACATGACCGGAAGTGTGCTTCAGCCACTTGCGTCCTTCCCAAGGATAGCCCTTTAAAAAGGGAAGGAGAATTCTGGTTGGGGCCTACTGCCAGTCTGATCTAGTAGGCAGTGGTAGGATTTGTTTTCCTGATTGTGCCTTATTTGACAGGGAATGGGTTTTGGGGCAGAAACCATTTGTCTTTATTTCAAATTGCATGCTTAAATAAAATACTTCTTTTTCCTTTCCACTGAACTCTGTCTTTGGAGCTATGCCTGCTAGGCGGCGGGCAGTAGGTAACCTCCTCCCACCCCCCACCCCCACCCGGCTGGGTTTGGTAATTCACTGAGCTACCCGGCCAGGGCTAGATTTCAGAGAGTTCTCAGAAAGGTAGGTATGAGATTATTCTTAAAAGACTGTAACTGAGGATGTACACAAAAAGTAAAAATCACTAGAATAATACGAGAAAGGTAAAAGCCCACTATGAGGGGATCTTACAAAAAAACAAAACAAAAACTGAGGTCCTAAGAAGAGCTTTAAAAATATAAAGAAAAAGAATAATAAATGAAACCTGCATTACCTAGAAAACATGATAAAATATTAACAGATGACATGAGACAGAGGTATTACTATTTTATTACCATCTTCTACGTGGAACAACAGAATAAACACTGTCAAGAGACTTTCAGGTTGAGGTGGGTAGGAGAGCCAAAGAATAGTTTCAAATGAATCCAAGTTTTCAGTTATCAAAGAACAACATTTCATTGATAAAAATTTCACAGCTATCACATTTAAGTTTTAAAAGCAACAGACAACAAAGGTATCACAATACTGTAAATTTTATACTTCTTTTCAAGAAGTGGAACAATGATAGACTCTACGCACTGCAGACAAGATACCAAAATTTCACTAAGGAAAATCTATGGATGAAATAACCTCATTTCCTGTTTGCATAGGGTCACTCAACTGCTGCTTTGAAGAAATGAAATCAGTCCCGTGATTTCATAAAATACAAGTTTTTCATCCTATTCTTATGGCTATGTTAATAAGCTAAGAACTAGGTAACTGTACAGGTGAGAGAATCTGAAGTTGGTTGAATATAAAGTGTGACTTAATTAATTGACAACAACCTTATTCAGTTTTTAGAAGATTAGGCCAAGGACCATAGCCCATTAGCATCTTATACATGACTTAAGAGTAATATTTTTGAAACTTCAATGCCCTTAAATAAAGACCTCAAAAAAAAAACCTTCCATGTCCTTGACAACATAATAGATTTATCAAATAGACTTACCAACTTAGATCTTTAGTAAGATAATTAAAAAAACAATACTTGAAAATATCATCAAGAGCTCAAATGAACAAGATCCCTAGTAAGATAATTATAAAAACAAACCTCAAAATATCACCAACAGCTCAAATAAAGAAAATGAAATTTGCCCTTTAAAGGCTGCAATTGCACCCACATTTAAAAACTTCAACACTCAAATGAAAGTTGGGGTTTCATGTTGGCTGCAACAATGTGAACATTTTCCACAAAAGATCTGAACATTTAAATTGTCCTTAAGTTCATAATCATAAACTTTATAGTATTAGGAAAGCTAATGTAATCTTACGTTGCACTGATGACTAATGTTATGTGACAACCAACGAATGTAATACAATTACGTTCCATCAGGACAGATCCATTTGGAAAACTATTTGATGCTTAAAACAGAGGTTGACTCTGCTAGTTCCTCTTTGTTGCAATCATTTACAGAATCACAAGTTAATTCTCTCTCATTGTGTGAAGATTTCAGCATCCAGAACACTGTCTCCCACCAGTAACATTCCTACTTCAATTCTTGGTGGTTTTAATGTTCATGTAGTAGAGGATTACACTAAAATACCCTGGCCTCTCAGATCCTTGACCCAATTTTTCTCCATGGTCTTGTTCTTTACTCCTTCAGTTAACAAATCTAGGGTTATACTCTCTAGACCTTTTCATTACTACCTGCACTGCTTCCCTATTCTCAATTTCAAGTATCTGCCTCCCATTACTCCTTGATTTTGACAAATCTTTGACTCAACTGACTGTAACACACTAATCTTGCGACCCTTTTACACTATCCCCCATATCTGCCTTCATGATGTCTTCCTTCTTCTCACCCACCTTAGACTCCACAGTTTACCAGTATCACCACTCTCTTGACAACATCCTCAATTCTCTTATCTTTCTCTCCCTCTTTTGTACTCGCCTGGCAAAAGCCATACTGGGTAAATTCAACTCTTCTGGCAGCTAATCTGAATTGGGCCCTTAATGCTGCTTGGCAATACTGCAACATTTCCCTAATGCATCCACTTCTATACTGACAGACAGCTGTCTTCATATCTTTTCCTAGAACCTCCCCACCCTACCTTTCTTCTAAAACCCTGTCCTCCATCTTTGCTCTCTGTGATGATTTTGCTACGTATATCATAAACAAAATTAGTGTGAAAAGAATATTTATATTTTCCATCACATCTATAAACATACTACTATCAATAAACTCTACCTTCTCTTTTGTTACGGGATGAACTATTTGTGTTCCTACCTAATCCTACCTATGAATCTGAAACTCTCTTTATCACTGGTGAATTCTCCAAGACAGATTTCACCCCAATCTAAGCAGTGATTTTTAAACAATTAGAGCTGCCAAAAAAAAAAAAAAAGGAATAAAATAGAAAGTAAAGGCCACTTGACTATAAGATCTCTTTGAGAAAAGGAATTTTCTGTAACTAGGAGTCCAGATAATCATGTAACACCTTCTGAGCTCTAGGATCCTATGGTTTTAGAAAATATAAAATTGAAAATACCCTAGAATAAATTAACAGTATTAACTGTATTTTACCTATTTGTCTCACCCCAGTGACTCATGTTAAATTCTTCAAGGGTTTCTCTGTTGACTACAAGGTTAAGTCTTTGAGGAAAGAGTAACAATGGAAGGGAAGAATGATAAACTGCCATTATCTACTACTATTTAGAAACCTGCCCAACCATCTTATTTTCATTCTCATGCTGATGTAATTCTAAAATTGCTACCTTAGAAACTCTTCTGGGAATATCTAATAGAAATGCATCTTCTATAACAGTGTAAGTATAATAGTATAATTCTTATACACCACCATTCACTACATACTGTATACAAATTAGATCATGGGATTCAAGCAAATATTAGCCAACTTTTTTGTTAGTTAATTGTTGAAGAAGGTTGTTCAAATAAGAAAAAAAGGACATTAAAATGAAAAACAAAAGAACGTTGGGTAAATGGGAAAGATCGCAAAGAAAATTTTACTTATTGCTGGGACAAATTAGCAGGTTAAATATATTTACCTTTAACAATCTTCTTTGCACAGTCATTATACACTTGCTCTTGAGATGTGTTTGACTGGAATACCCGATCAAATGCATAAGGCTTGGTCTGAAAAACAGAAACAAAGCTTTCAACAACAGAAATTAAGGGTGAATGGATGCCTAAGCTCCTTCAAAGATTATTATTGTATATATAACCTTCATAACAGGATACCTAAAATACAAAATAATCATGACTCCAAAAAAAATTCCTAACATATAAAATACTCCTTAGTAAACACTAAGCTAAGCGTTTCTTAGCTTAAAAGCATGCGTGCACCCCCTCACTCCCCCCTCCCCCCACAAAACCTTACTTTTTAACCCACAATCCTCCTCCTCAAAGCTTGGGATAACAGTAAAAATGAAGCAGACAACCCTAACAGCTATATATACAAAGGCATTCCCAATTACCCTTGCCTTTGCCACCTCCCACTAGATAGGCTAGAAAGCTAACCACCTGCTAGCCTAGTCTCCTGCAACTAGTGGCCACATGATCCAATTCTGGATACTATGAAGTAAGTGATGGTCTTCTAGGAGGTCTTGAAGAAGGGTTTTGTTTTCCTGATAAAAAGAACCATTTTAGCTGAGACTACCCTCTCTCCTTCCTGGGATAAATGTCTGGAGTTGTAACATCCTTCTTAGAAACATGACAAAAATGATGATGAAAAGTCAGTAACTAAGGAAGACAATGGATAACAGAGTCAATAAATAGTAGCAGTTAGGGGCCTACATCCAGAATTTTTATAAGAAAAATAACCTCTTATTTATTTAAAGCATTATTTGTTGTTTGTTTTCCCTATCCAACTGAAAGCATTCCTGATGGATATACTAAGATGACCAGCTCCGGTGTAAATTTAAAGTAAGACATCTCAATGTCTAATTATTCTTTGGCTAAGGCATACATAAAGTGTAAAAATGTCCTTTTACTAAAATGCCACTGGCACATTAACATTTAAACCTACAGGTGTGGCTAAAAAAGAGCAAATCTATTATTTTACTGGCTATACAAGATTATTCGTGATCAACAATTCTGGAAAGCAACACAAGTACATTCAAAATAGCAATCACTATTTTTTTTTCCAAGATAGCAGCAGAGTAGGTAGAGGCTATACTTACCTCCTCCCAGGACCAAACTAAAATTACAACCAAATTATAGAACAATCATCCAGAATAGCCAACTGAAGACTAGCGGGGGTGGCGGCGGGGCTTATAGTGAGGGATTTACAGAAGCTATATAGAGGCTGGTAGGAAGTGTGGAGATGTGAAAAGGGCTGGCACTGCTTCCATGGGCAACAGGTGAGGTTCTGAAAGGATGTCTTGGTGCAAAGGGTGCCCCCTGAGAAGTGTGGGGTCTAAACCCCAGGCTGGGCTCCCCAGCCAAGAGCACCAGATCCGGGAAGAGGTACCCATATAACATCCAGCTATGAAAAGTGGGGTTTCTGTCTACCAGGGAAAGATGGGAGTCTGTTGAAGACAGAGTCACATAAAAAGCCAACACAAGATTTCATTCATGGTCAAGCAGTCTAGAGTCACCCAAGGGGAGCCTGAGGTTTGTGGCTCTGTGGAAGAGGCTGGCAGGATAGCTGCCAGGATCCTTGTGCTGAGTCATTCTTTCATACCACAAATGCCATCTTTCTTTGGGGGAGCAATCCCCTCCATGTGACATCAGCCTTGGCAAAAGCAACTGCTCCATCCTCTGGACTCCCTCTCACCCCATCATGCAAAGCTTATGCCCCACAGAGTCATCAGCTGCTTTGGTAAGTGTGTAGAAGTCTGGGCAGACACAGGGGGTGTCACTGAATGAGTTGTCTGGCTTTGGGGCAGGGTTCATGCTCCCCACTTTCCTGTGAACCTGACTGGTGCTTCCCCGACAAGGGACATCTGACCTCCTCCACTCCCTCCCAGCTTAAAGTAGGCCCAACCTCCATGCTTTGCCCTGCTGAGGGCAAAATCCAAGACAGACTGAGTCTGTGTGGTTCTGATGTGGGGATCACACCCACCACCTTCCCTGAAGCCTGACTGGCACCACCTCCTCATGGAAGATCATCTAGCCCTGTACTCCCAACTCCACCAGAGGCTCTTTCGGTGACTGAGCCTACTGGGCAACCAACAGGTGGAGGTAGGCAGAGGCAGATCTTGGGGTGTCTTGAAACTTTTGCTGACCTGCCCCCAGGCCAGGTGCTGAAAAAAGCTGGCCTCCACCTGCAGCTTGGTCTTTCCCACAAGCACCAAAGCTCAGCAGAGGTGGCCACAAATGGTGGATCACTTGCAGCTCCAAATAGGCTGCTGGGGGCCAGTCACAAGTGTCTGACACTGGTATCAGCATCCCTCCAAAGAGGCTCAGAACAAACACACCCAGATACCAGCTTCAGACAACACCAGAGCAGGATCCAATAAGCTTCACAAACAGCATACACAAAGGGAGATCTCAGCAAGCACCATACCCTGCTGAGGTGAATTCTGCTTTGTGTGGTCAGTACCTGTATAGCAGCTTGCACACCCATGGTCAGCGTTGAGACTCACAATCAGCCAGCCTGAGGGCTGATCCCACATACGACTAGGCCAATGGCAAACAAGAATCAATTACAACAGGAGGGCCCACATAATTCACAAAAGGGATATTCCTAGGGCACACCCAGCTCAGGTGATCAAGGAGACTGTGCCACTCAGTACCATAGGACAACTACATAAGGTCACCCACAAAGAATGGGAGTCAAAACATATCTGATACATAGAAACAACACAGAGAGGCAGTTAAAGTGGGAATACAAAGAAACAGACCCCAAACAAAAGAGAATTCTCTAGAACAAGAGTTAAATGAAACATAGGCAAGCAATTTATCAGACATACATTTCAAAATTACTCTTGTAAGGATGCTCAAGAGCATGGAAAAGGACACAGAAACCATTAAAAAAAAAAGTCAGAAATGAAGAACATAATGTCTGACATCAAGACAAGGTAGGAAAATATGGCCAATCAGAGCAGCAAAAAGGAAAAAAGAACTAAAAAGAATGAGGACAGTTTAAGGCAGGGGTCTCCAACCTGTGGGCCATGGATGGGTACTGGTCTGTAGCCTGTTACGAACTGGGTCACAAAGGAAGCTTATCTGAGCTTCACCTCCTCTCTCCCCTACCCCCATTTCCACAAAACTGGACCCTGGTGCCAGAAAGGTTGGGGACTGCTGGTTTAAGGGACATCTGGGACAACATGGAGCATAACAACATCTGCAATAATAAGGGTAACAGGACAGGAGAGCGAGCAAGAGATCGAAAAACTATCTGAAGACATAATGACAAAAAGCTTCCCTAACATGGTGGAAAAAAACAACCAGACAAGTCCAGGAAGCACAGGAATCCCAAACAAGATGAAACCAAAGAGGTCCACACGAATATGCATCATAATTAAAATGGCAAAGGTTAAAGATGAAGAGAGAGTCTTAAAAGCAGCAAGACAATAAATATGTCCCTCTCAACAGGCACCTAAAGTGCAAATGGCTTAAATGCTCCAATCAAAAGACATGGGGCAGCCCTGACCAGTTGGCTCAGTTGGTTGGGTGTTGTCCCGCAAAGCAAAGGTTTCCGGTTCAATTCCTGATCAGGGCACATCCCTGGGGTGTGGGTTCAGCTCCGGTCAAGGCACGTAGGGAGAAGCAAGTGATCAATGTTTGTCTCTCACCTTGATGTTTTTCTCCCTCTCAAATAAATAAATAATTAAAAAAAAAAAGGGGGACACAAGATAGTTGAATGGATATAAGAAAGCAAGAACCATATATATGCTGTTTACAAGAGACCCACCTCAGAATGAAAAATACACAGAGACTAAAGGAATACAATAGATATTTCATGCAATGGAAATGAGAAAAAAAAAGGCTGGGTAGCAATACGTATATCTGACAAAGTAGACTTTAAAATAAAGGCTATAGGAAAACAAAGAAGGGTACCACATAATGACAAAGGGAGCAACCCAACAATAGGATATAACCCTTGTAAACATGGGTACATCCCACACAGGAACACCCAAATACGTAAAATGAATCTTGATGGACATAAAGGGAGATACTGACAGCAGTAATCATAGTAAGGGGATTTTAACACCCCATTTACATCAATGGATAGATCTTCCAAACAGAAAATAAACAAGAAAATGGTGGCCTTAAATGACACACTAAATCAGATAGATTTAATAGATGTCTTCAGAGCATTCACCCAAAGCAGTAGATACACATTCAAGTGCCCATGGTATGTTTTCTAGGATAGACCACATGTTTAGGACACAAAAATGGTCACAATAAATTTAAGAAGACTGAAATCATATCAGGCATCTTCTCTGAAACTTGAAATAAACCTCAAGAAGAAAACTGAAAAACAAATGAAGATATGGAGGCTTAATAACATGTTACTAAACTATGAAATGAATTAAAAATGAGATTGAGGAATAAATCAAAAGATATACCTTGAAACAAATGAGAACAAGAACATAACAACCCAAAATCTATGGGACACAGCAAAAGCAGTGCTAAGAGGGAAATTTATAGCATTACAGGCCTGCCTCAAGAAAAGAAACAAAATCTCAAATAAACAATCTAGCTTCGCACTTAAAGGAGCTGGAAAAAGAAAACAAACAGGGCCCAATCTGACTAGAAAGAAGAAATAATAAAGATCAGAATAAAAATAAACAAAATAAGAGTATTAAAAAAACAAAAAGAAAATCAATGAAACCAAGAGCTGGTTCTTTGAAGAGATAAACAAGACTGACAAATCTTTAACCAGACTCATCAAGAAAAAGAGACAGCCTAAATAAATAAGATCAGAAATGAAAAAGAAGTAACAACTGACACCAAAGAAATACAAAGGATTGTAAGAAAATACTATGGACTATATGCGAAAGAATTGGACAAGTGGAAGAAATGGATAAATTCCTGGAAAAATACAATCATCTAAAACGCAATCAGGAAGAATCAGGGCATTAGACAGATTATAACTAATGAAATTGAAGCAGTAATCAAAAAAAATCCCAACAAAAGTCCTGGACCAGATGGCTTCACAAGTTAATTTTACCAAACATTCAAAG